GCATTGGTACACGTAGTTGACAAGTGAATGTACGCTGTTCTCACGTATACTCACAGTCTATTGTGCTGGTGTTAAACTGATTGCATTGCCTTGCACATACCGGTATGTACATGTACATGTATTCATGTACAAGCACATATGTTCTTAGATTTTTCTGTCATGGTTCCTATGTTGGCCTTGTACCATTAACTGGTGGGCCTACAATGCACTGATGGTCTGTTTGAATATGAAGAAATTTATGCATTTTTTCCAGGAAGCATTTTTTCACGAGTACAATGTTTAAGTGCCGTACATGTATGTACATGTGCATGTATGTGTAAGTAGCATCGTGCATTGGGCAATAACGCTGCGCTGCACATGTGCATAGATCCTTGTACATGTACATGTCCCTTCAGTTCCTGAATCATGCGAAATATTCAAAAATCTTCTGTTGTTGGCTTTGAAAATCTAATCATTTTTAAGATGGAACCTACAATATTTCATGTCCATGTACATTTATGGACGAGTACACACTGACACAAAGTACATGTAATAGTGTGCGGTACACGCGCACTCGCACAGGTACTGGTAAGATGACGGGCGGGCAAACTACATACATTGTACATACATGTAGATTGCCCAGTTAAAGTACATGTACATGTACGTAGTGTACCTTACAACATTTGTAGGTGTACATGTACATGTACGTAGTGTACCTTACAACATTTGTACGTGTACATGTACTATGTGCAGGAATGCACAGTTCATGCCTACATGTACATGTACACCTTAAAGCCCAACACAGTTGACATGTGCTAGGTTTTTGTTGATCCTTTGATGGAAATTTAAACATCAACACATTTTTTCCATGACCCCCTGTTCACATCCCTAAATCAGTAGATGTCAGTGTTAATGGAAATGGACCAGAAGGTCAAAGATTCATCCCCCATCCTGCTTACATAGTGAAATCCCTGAAGATGCCATCATTTACGAATATTGAGTGTGCACTTGTGCAGTGTACCAGAGCATGTTGTATGGAACGGTAAGACATAATGTAAACCATATGGTTGACAGAGAAATTCAAATAGTGAATTGAATGAATTTTTCAGTGTACATGTATGTCGTCTGCACATATATGTCAGGAGGTATTAGCAGTGGTGAATGATAATTAAGATCAGGTACAATCGGTACCTGGTTCAATGTACCGGTAACAAGATGGCAATGACAGCTATGTACATGTAGCTTTGATGTGATGGTTTGGATAGTTTTTGTTCATTACTGACATTGAAACTAGCGGTAAAACGGATAACTTTTCCACAGAATTAATATGCTATTAATATCCCCCATACACCATGTGATGTGCGTATCGTGTTTCATAAGAATTTTTGCAGGAAAGCCATGAATACATGTACATTGTACATGTATGTATGTATTTTGTACATGTGACGTGACACTTTGACATTTACCATTGATGTACATGTACCGGTGCATGTACATGATCCTGCACAATTTTGTCAAGGTACGTACAGTCATGACAGTAGGTCAGAAGTGCCCATTTTTATTTATAAACTACGCATTCATTAGCAGTTGGGGTTTGCTCCTGATTCCTAAATAAGGAACATTAGGTTAGCCTCCTGGGGCACATGCTGGGCCATCTGACTTGTGTAAACTTCACTTCTGCCCCCACACATAAAACTGACAGTGGACCACAAATCAAGATAGTACTAGTGGAAGTCAAGAATAGTCATTTCAGGAGTCGACAAATACAGGAACCCAAAAATAAGCTGGAAAATATACTTCAACATCTTCAATATCGATTGTTTTATATTGCATGCATTGTACCATGCATGGTACATGTACATGTATGAGGGATCAGTTAATGCGATTATTTGAAATCAAAGCAGCAAGAAGCTAGTTTTTTCCCAGTGCGGTATACAGCTGGTAACTGGCCCAAGATTGGCATTCCAATAACACTGAATATTGCAGTTTGAGTACATGTAGTGTATGTATTTCAAAATTACTTAGTCGTAATGCATTTAATGAGCAACTTTTATGTACATGTATACCATCAGGCCATGTATGGTAGATCTCTCCTGAATCGTTATCATTATCATCTGTATCTGGCTTGAAATTGAGGCTTCTCCTTTCAGTTTTTTCTTCAGCCTCAGTAACGTCCTTTTAAACGTCCAGTAACCTGTAAGAGTACATGTACATGTCCGTGTAGTGTGATTAATGTGGTGAATGTTACCGGTATCATAGCAAACAGTTCCGTGTTCCTGTACAGTACATTAGTCAATTGCAAGAGGGAGCAGTCTGTAGTGTACATGTGTACCTGGTACATGCAGGTTATGTGTATTGAGGGTTAGTTGATCCTTTTCCCTGGGCTGAA